GGTCCTCTGCGCCTCCGGCGGAGCCCGGGCCTGGCACTGGGCTGCTCTCCTAACGCACACGCTCTCTGCTGCGTTTCAGGATCTGGTAAAGAGTCACTTGATGTACGCGGTGAGGGAGGAAGTGGAGGTCCTCAAAGAGCAAATCAAAGAGCTGATAGAGAAGAACTCCCAGCTGGAGCAAGAAAACACTCTGCTAAAAACACTGGCCAGCCCGGAGCAGCTTGCCCAGTTCCAAGCACAGCTGCAGACTGGTTCCCCGCCTTCCTCTTCCCAGTCACAAGGGACAACACAGCAGCCTGCTCAGCCGGCATCACAGGGGTCAGGGCCTTCAGCGTAGTTCCAGATGTCGTTGCCATCGTGATCGCTGGCCTCTGGACTGCCCAGAGCGAGAAGGACTAGCGGGAATCCGCCACAGCCACCCTTCATCCATTTCAATGCACATCGCAACCCAGACTGAGGACTCCATGCCCTGCACACATCAGGAGAGGCTTCTCCCCTCTGTATTACGCACTCATCTGTCTCTCTCTTCCCTCCTTTCCCCCTTTGGCTTGAAGGAGTCTTTGTTCTTAGGTTGGTTGAGTAAAATAAACTTCCAGAGAATTAGCACAAGTACACTGGGGACTTGAGCAGCTTCTGCAAATGGCTGAGGAACGAAGCTGCATGCCTGAATTTTCTTGGTTTGTTTTTAAATCCTCCACTCGTCCAGTCATATAACTGATACAAGTGCTTTTTGAGCTTGGAAATGCGAAGAAATAGATGGGAGTAAAAAGTGATGGCTCAATCCCCCATAAGTGCACTGGGGTTCCAAAGTGAGGACTGGTGCATAGGATCTAAGAGGAAGAGGGAGAAAGGTAAACTCAGTGTTTAACACTTAACTGTCACCTGAAACCTTAAGTGCAAATATTTGCACCGTTTTTTGAAGCAGTGGACAGGTGCATAAAGCTGTATTATATATAGAAAGCAGGTAGGTGACGTACAGTTGGGTCATAGGATTATTACAATGAAGGTTATTTGCCTACTGTATATTTGTGTATTTAGTGTAATTACTTTGTAAAATAGAAAACTGTAACTATTTAGGTTGTACAGATTGAAGTTTAGTTGTTTCATTGGCTGATTTGAAGAAGTTTGGAAAGTCTTTGGGGTTGTTTTTATTATTTTTTTTTTTTTTTTTTTTTAAAGCTACATAAATAAGAATGCACCTACGCAACTGTTCAGAATCTGGCAGATTTATGCTGTTTGTGTAACTTCTGAAGTTCCCTGGCTGCTGGTTATCTTGAAGTAAATCTTTGTTCATTGTAGTTTGGTTCAAGACAGGAAAAACCACTCCAAAAATTTATCAAACCCTGCTAGCAAAGAATTAAAAAAAAAAAAAAAAAAAAAAAAAGACAAAAAATTGGATTTCCCTGTATGGATTTTTTGCATATGATCTGTATAGTAGTATGCATATGTTTTTGTGCATGTTCTCTAAACAGTTGTAACACGTCAATGTATTTAACTGTTGCACTTGTCAACTTTCAATAAAGCATACAATGTTGATAAATCACTGTTTGCATATTGTACTGATGTTAACCGCAGTCACTCCGAGCTGTTGCAATGCAGTTTGACATGAGCAGTGAGGTCAGAAAGCGTGGGTCTGGGTGCGAGATCCTGCCCGTCAGCTTCAGAGCTTTCTCAGAGTTTCAGCTAAAAATACAGCTCCTGCTTTCCACAGTTTCTTAAAAGTCAATGTGAAGTCAGATGAAGGAGGGAGGAGTTAGAGGACCTGACCAAGAGCAAAGCTCCTTGGTTTGGTCCAGTGCTGTACAGTCAGGACAGCTGAGTGTATACATCACGTAGTAGATAAGCAGGAGCACAGACTTCTGTGGTATAATCATCCATCAATATATAAATCTCATGCAACAGTTGTTCCCTAGCAGCAAACTGGGCATGGGTCATCCTGTGCTGGCAGCAGCCCCAAAGCCCTTCACTTGGGGTGACAAAGGCAGCGGCATTACAGCTTCCCCAGCAGGTCAGCCATAGAGCCACCTTCTCTCAGAAACATCTAGTGATGGGACCAGGCTGAAATCTTGATGTCCAAGAGTTTCTCTCTTCCACAGCTCTTACCTTGATTAATTTCATTTTTTTTTTTGTGAGTTGAAATTCTGTAAACTTGTATTAATTCTGCCTTGTGTAAGTGTTGAGGAGAATTTCCAGTCCTGTGTGAAGATACAACTGTTTGTCTTCAGTTTGAAAAAATACTTCCTCTTTAGTCATGATAGTTAAAACAACCGAATCTAAACCTCCAGATTTCTAGGTGAAAGACTTACCAATATGGTGTGATAGTCTGCAGCTGGAAGGAATGTGCAGTTTTACAGTGGATTCTGTTTACTGGTGTTAAGGGTGTGAATCTTGGATAAGTAGAGTGTTCAGAATTAATGGGATAAAATGGTCAGTCTTTTTGAGGAGCAGTAGGACAGTACTTTGACCGTGAAAGCAGTGTCCTAATATTTGAATACAAGGACATAATCTGACTTAAGAATTAATGACAAAGTTTTTCATATGGTCTTCTATGACTGCTTTCTCCATATAATGAAAGTGAGGAGGCACCATTCTTGAGGAACTTCATATTAGTGCGAATAGTCAGGTGTAGCAGAGGAAACCAGAAGACTGAGGGTTCAGAGGCAGGACAGATCACCTCTTTGTGTGATTTCTAGCTAAATTCTTGCTTTTAGATGCTCTTTGTGCAGCGATTCAGGCACTGCTTAGCTGAATCACAGTACAAGCAGTTGCATTGCCTTCATTTGGATCAGTATATCAGAGTGCGTGCATGAGCGTGTTGTTGTGGGTGTGGGAACTTTAATTTGTAGTTTGTGTTCTTGATATTTCAATATATAATTTAAGTGTGTTCTTAATGAGGAAATGCCAGAGAGAAATGTGAGATGTTTTTTTTGATGGATTAAGCTAAAATTAGAAATTGGTGATAGCCTTTGTGGCAGAACAGATCTTGAATTACCTGGATCAGACAAAAGGAATGCTAATTTTGGTGCCTTTTAAATGGTTTAATTGTCTCCAGTTGCCTTTATATTCTGAATGTCTCTAGCGCTTCCAGGCCATAACATTGAGTATATAAAAAAGTCCATCTTAACAGGCAGATAGGCCATTTCACCTGCTTCACTGACCAAAATTTGCAGATAATTATTTTTCATTTAAAAAAGAAATTGACCTCTGGGTTTATTTCTTTTGCTTTGTTTAAAGAACAGCTTGAGCATATTCTAAGTCTAAGATTATTATATTTTTTTTAACTTTAATACAGTATCTGGAATTCTGAAGGTTTTTGGTTAGGTAATACATTGATAATTTTAGTACACTGTGCTTTGATGTTGTCAAGTCTAATCATTTAGTCTTAGGTGCCAAATAGTTTTAAAATTATGGAGCTAGTTTTTGGAGCTGTTTATTAATTGCTAAAGTTAGGCAGAGCAATGTTTTGTTGCCAAGATGATTTTAGCAATAGCTCTGTCAAAACTACAGCCTCTCTCCTTGAAGTGGATTCAAATTAACTAAAATTGTGCTTGAGACCCAAAGAGTAGACGTTTCAGTCGGTTGTGTTGTAATACTTCTGGAAAGAATTGTTTTGATTTTTACTTTTGTTCTAGAACAAATCATTTTTCAGAGCACTTTAAATCAAATGTTGTCAATAGTCAAGAGTATCATCTTTTTCCACCACAATATTTCTTCTTACAAACTCAGAGATGCTCGGGTTTTCATCCACAGTGAGAATCAACTTAAATGTAATCTTTTTTTATGTCAGGCATTTTATTCTCTGCATATCTCCAATTCAGTAATTCTTCAGGCTATATTAAAGCTGTTTGTCATTTAACTTCTTGTTGACATTTAGCTGCACACTTGGTTTATTTTTAACAGCAGTATGATAAACTGATCTAAGCAAATTATGATGGGGACCAAGTTGCTATTTTTTTTTCCTCTTGTGGCTTTTTTTGTTTCTTTTTTTTTTTTTAACCAATAATTTCTGGCAAATAATTCCAAGGCAAGTCCAGATTGTCCAAATTCTGAGGGCTCTGTAAGTGCTTGGGGAAGAGAAATACGCTTCAATAACGCGCAGTCCAGAGAGCTCCCAGACAAAACCTCCCAGCAGCAGTGGAGTAAGCGCAGTGCCTTAGAGATGCCTCTCCCTAATTCTTATGGAATAAATCGATGCCTTGGAGGCAATTTCCTGTCTTTCAACTGGAGAAAGAACCCAGCAAGGCTATTTGGGAATTACCACCCACAATTTCTGTAGCTACAGTGGATGAATTAATCTCAATACAAAGAGTTTTAATTATTATATTTTCCTTGTAGGGTGAAATAGCAGTACTTGCTCGCTGACTGAAAGTACTTGTTTAGCTTAATATATGCCATTTGCAAATCCTCTCGTTGAGTGTCTTGAGTACTTTACTAACAGTTGGCGTCTTACAGACGTTGCACTATTTCTTGCTTTTCTCCTCTCTTTTTGGCATTAAAACTGTTAATATGGGATTAAAACTGTTAAAACTCTCTTTAAACTGGGAGAGGGTCAGTTTAGATTAGATATTAGGAAGAAATTCTTTCCTGTGAGGGTGGTCAGAATTGCCATAGAATCTATGGATGCCCCCTCCCTGGAAGTGTTCAAGGCCAGGTTGGATGAGGCTTTGAGCAACCTGGTCTAGTGGAAGGCGTCCCTGCTGATGGCAGGGGGGTTGGAACTAGATGATCTTTAAGGTCCCTTCCAACCCAAACCATTCTATGATTGTGCATGTTAACTCTCTGGAGAGTTTTCTGCTGTGGTAAACCTGGAACAAGTTATAAATCCAAGGCTTTGGCTAAACTGGAGGTTCACCCAATGCCAACATTGCTTGTCAGTGTGATCTCAGATGTATGAAACTAACCGGAGAATGGTTTGCTGGAGGGAGCTCCTGGGAAGTCTGGAGGGAGCTTTGGTGTCTGAAATTCAGTTTGTTTGAGGATACTCTGCAAAACACCTGCCACTGGCCCGGTCCTTTTCCTGCGATGAGTAAGCAGACTCTTCCGACTGCATTTGGTATGTGCTGAGCTAGGCCAACAAACGGCGTGCTTGAAAATCCTCTGGCAAGGAGTTTCCAGCAGACACTGTCGACTACCCTCCTGCATCGGGGTCCAGTTCCAACAGGAGCAAAGCCAAGCTCAACAATGAAGTTAAAAGCCAAACCATGAATAAACTAACTTCCTTACCTTGTCAATACATCAGAAAAGGGCAACTCAACTGCTGAAAATGAGAAAAGCTGTGATGATTTTCCTTGAAACCACGTCTCAGGTGGTGGTTGTTCATTTAGATGCCCCCAGGAG